TTCTCAAAATTTAATAATAGTTGTTGTGAATTATCATTATTAATTATTATTTAGGTTATTATGTTATGGAATTTAAACGTCATTAAAGATTGTATACATATTTTCATTATTGAACATAATTATAAATATGAAAACTCATAGTATATATATTGATTTGTGTTAAATGTAAAAAGAAGTGTGCATCTAATTATCATTTGCTATTAATAAAATCTTTATCTTGTAAGTCATAATTATTACTATGAGTATAACCCTAAGTAAATAATTACATTGATATTTTATATGTTTTCGTGCATATGAAATAACTTTTATAATATTCCATTGTTAATTAATTAATACACAAACATAGTTTTTAACATATATTTTTAATTTTGTATTTTAGGAATTATATTTTATTAATGTAGATATTTCATGATTGAAGTAATATAATTATTAGTAACTATATAGAGTAACACAAAAAAAATGTCATTTGTGAATGATATTAATATTTATAAAAAGATAGTTTCTGAAGACGTACAAAAATCATGTACAATAAATGAAACTGCAACAGAATTTATGGTTTTACCTAAATATGAACACACAGAGGAAACATTAGTAATAAAATAATTAATATTTTGATATATATATATATATATTTAAAATTCATATTATATCAATTATATTTTTAGTTTATTTTAATTTTTTTTATTAATTAAAAATATCATATATAGGTTGTTGGTGAAGAAATAATTGTAGATGAAAATATAAATCAAAAAATTTCAGAAGAGGTTATTTGTAAACAGAAAAATACTTCTAAATATTTTGAAGAAAGTATAGATACAACAATGTCTGTAAAATATACAGAAGATTCTATACCATTATCTACACTAGATACATCCAGACGGAAATGGATTGCTAATGACATCAATAAAGAAGATTTATTGGTAAATATTAGTAATGATTATATTATTAAATATTATTATTATTATTAAATGTTTAAAATTATATTAAAAGAGATTATAATATATCAAAATGATAAAAATATTTTTTTATGTTACTATATTATTTACTATATTATTAATTTATATTATAATTATATATCTTAAATTTAAAAACAATTATAAAAATAAATATTATATCTTTTATTGTATATATATTAATATAATATGATAGTTATCAGAATCAGAAGAAAGTGAAACTGAAATGTATATTAAAGTAATAAATGATGATCAAGATGGAGATGAAGAAACAATAGCTACATTTGTAACTGCTGCTGGTCAACAATTAGCATTGTATGCAGTTGAAGATTCAGAAGAAATTTTTGCTGTAGCAGTTTATGATGAATCTGGTGAACCTCCAACAAATTTTCAATTTCTAATGAAGTATATATATTTATTCATTCATTACATATTCCATTGATAATATACATGTAATTCAATAATATTGATAATTGTATACAATACAAATAATAAAATAATCTTATTTACAGAGCGGATGTTGAAAGATTAATAGGTGAAGGTGCAGTTAGAACTGTCAAAAAACCAACACAGATAAGAAAACATTTATTAACTACTCAATCGCCAATATTTTTTCCTAAAAATGAATCAACAGATGATATATTAATGGATAATGAAAATAAAATCATGATAAATGAAAATGGAAAAATTAAAAAAAGAAAAGATATATTGGAAGAAAATTCAACTTTAATGAAAGATTCTAATTTAAATCTACATAAAAAACGAGTTCCTAATATTATATATACAAATGAAAAGCAATCAGATGTAACATATTTAATGATGGGTGATTGTTCTGTAAATATAGGTATGTATTTAAAAATTATAATTATTTTTATATGAGATTATATTTTATTACAGTAAAACTTCAAATATTATAAAAGCATATAAATTTAATAGATAATTCTGAAGAGTGTCAAGATGATGATAAAAATGATGGTGAATTTATACAACAATCAACTGTACAATATATCTTATTTGAAGGTGATCAATCTGATTCAGAATTAACATTTGATGAGATTCATGAAACTCTTCAAAATTTGAAATCAAATGCAATGAAAAAACAAGTAAATAAAAAAATCATTAGAGATCAAAATAATATTGGAGATATTAAAGGAACTGAATATGAAACTTCAATGTATCAAAATTCTAATGGATCTAATAGAATATCTAATAATTTAACAAAAAGAAAATTAAATTTATTAGATAGCCAACAAGAATTATTAGAAACATTAACAGATTCATCAACAGATTTAATATCGTGTAGTACAAATTTAGATATATCAAATGGTTCTATTGAATATACATCACCTGAATCGTCACAAATACAGTATAAAACTAAGCGATCTCGAAAGCAACAATTGATTTCTGTAAATCGTGAAGATTCGGAAATTATCATACAACCAGCATCTCTTTTAACTGAAGAAGACAATAATATTAGAAAAAGAGTAAAACGAAGCAGAAGAGTTGTAGCTCATCCTGGTTATCATCAAAGAAATAATGACTCAAAAAGAATGAAAAAAATTAAACGAAAAGAAGTGGAAATTATTGAAATTGATATTGACGAAGAAGAAAATATTCTACAATCACAACAAGATGTTGTTGAAATAACTATAGATGATAGTAAAGATAAATATTCTAGTGATAAAGAAAATGAAATTATTATGGTTGGAGATTCCGATGATGAATCACAACAGTCAAATTCAAAAACAATTTTATTACAATGTCAACATTGTTCAAGAAATTTTAGACAACAAAGAGCTCTAGAAACACATTTGCGAGTTTGTTCAAAATCACCAGCTAATACCATACGATTTAATGAACAAAATTTAAAACAAGAAAATGAAACAATTGAAAATACTATTAAAAAACAATATGCTTGTAAAATATGTCAACAAAAATTCGATGTAGTAGTAGCATTAGCACGTCATGTACGTTCAGAACATTCTCAAAGAAAAAAACGTAGGTTCAGTAAATTATCAGTTGAACGATCAACTGAAATTAAAGAAAAGAAAGAACATACTGAACCAAAAAAACAAATGAGTATAATTAAAAGAATTAAAAAAAAAAGGAATCAACGACCAAATTATACATGGGAAGTAAAAAAATTAAGCTGTTCTGATTGCGGTAGATGGTTTCCTAGTACTGCCTTATTAAGAGCACATTGTTTACAACATGGTACAAAAAAATCTGGTAAGATTTTAAATCTTAATGTAATTATAATAATTGTTTAATATATATAATAATTCTATATATAGAATCATTCTTAAATTATTCTTATTTTAAATTAATAATATTTTTATGTAATTATAAATATGAAAAATAATTGAAAAATATTTTCTTATAGAACAACAAATTCGCAGATGTCAAATATGTAAGAAAATAATTAGATCTAGATTACTTTTTGTACAACATTTGAAAAAACATAGAAATTTACAAAAAAATACAAAATCTGTGTCAAATATTCAAAAAAAGTTACATACTACCAGGTCAGTGACAAGTAAAATTACAACGCTCAGAAAACGTGGGCGCTCACGAAAATTTTGATCTCTTCAGATATCAAAATGTAAAACTTATAAAAATTGGTGATATATGACAAATATTATTTCTTCTAATGTGAAATATGTACAATATAATGTTCTTACTTCCAATAAAAATTGGAGATATTTATATGTTTGATGAAGAAATATCTTTAAATTGCAAATGATAGTAGGTATCTAGTTAAAAATGTATATATTACTTAGATATACTATGTATATTATGTCATTTAAGTTTATATCATACAAGTACATTTGCAGCTTAAATTGATTGAAAGACTGACTTCTTTCATTCTTTGATAACTTTAAAAAAAATCAAGTGCCGAAAATTAATTAAATTTAAAAAAAAATTTGTCATGTTTAATAAAATATTTAAAATAAATTATATAAGTCAGTCTTTATTATTATATAAATTTCACTGATGATCATTGATACTTACTTAATAATATTATTGATTATTGTAAATAAAGTGATTACATTAAAATATGTATATATTTATTGAAATATTTTCTTTTCATATATACTAATTATTCCAATTACTTTTTAATTAAATTTAAATTAATATAAATAATATATTTTTTTTTTTTTGATTTCATAAATTATTATTTATTAATTAAATTCTAAAATGTACATAAAATAAACTCAATATATTTTAAATTTTGAAATATACCAAAAAAATTATAGTTAAAAAAAAACTTATAAATTTACATTTATATAATATACAATAT